GACATAGGCCCAAGTGTCATGGAAATAGAGTAGATGATAATAGTGGTACAAATAGACTTCTTTTATAGTGTTGAATAGTACTATAGTATTCCTACATATAGTATGAATAGTAGTTCCATCATCTGGAAGTATCACAGTTTATCACCTTGCTTTTTGAGACAAGCTTTCATTTTATAGCCCAGTCAGCCTGGCCTCAAACTCATGACCTTTCCACAAGAGCCTGTCAGGTGCTGAGGTTACATTGCAGTGAGTGCTCAGGACCCTCCACAAGAGCCTGTCAGGTGCCAAGACTACAGTGTGTGCCTCCAGTCCTGGTGGTAGCTGACTTCAAACCCCTAATGTTAGAGGTCATGAATCTGAGTGATTTACACTCTACTCTTTGGGTCAGGCTTCTGTTCAACTCTGCCTAAGGCCCCTCCTGTCTCCATACCTGGGGATAAAGGAGTTTGAAATCCAGGCTGACTTAAGGCGGTCCTTGTTGGCAACTGCCTCCCATCTTCTTTCCAAAGCCATCTTTATCCTTGCTCCAGTAATTTGTTCATGAATCACCGGCCTTTTCAAATGGCACGTAGCCAAACCCAACTGGTAACACTAAGAGCATGCGCACAGGTTCTTATGTGGACCTACGTTTCTAAGTCCTTTGGGTAGATTTCAGAGGGTGGCACTGCTGGTAAAGGCATGGTTAGTTTTGTAAGAGCAGAGCAAACTGTCTTCAGTACTCATTAGTAGCTGGTGATAACGACACTGTTAGAACCCATGCGCCTAAGGATGGGGAGGGGAATAGATCTGGTGGTATCCACAATGAGTCCATGGCTTCATACCGATACATTCAGGTTGTGGGTGTGTGTAAGAAGATTTATGTTTGTGCTGGATGCAAATCACAGCTCCTACTCTAAAGTGAATAGAAGCTAGTTTACTCAGAGCCAAGTAAGGAACCGTCAATGGCCCAGGAACACAGATTCTGGTTGCCCCAAACGACATGTACCACTGTAGAAGACGTCACAGAATGAAAGAAGACTACAGGCCAAGGGACTTGTCAATCATATTGGTTGAGGCATCAGGTAGGTATGCTATGGTCAAGCAGAAAATCTCTTCTATAGGTTTCAGATGTGGTCTTTTGACATTCTTAGCTTAGGCTAGGTGGAAGCTAGTAGTCTGCTAAGTGAATATATTCTAAAAGATTTACCCAATGGACACAAAGGTATTGGGCCAGATTCAGAGATTAGTAATACATGGTTATTAGGGAGACTGAAGATGGCCCAAGGTAATTTTGACTCTTGACTGGAAACCCTGCTTCTCCCCACAACCACCAGTTGCTATCGACTATCTACCGAAGCCAAGAAGCAATGAACACAAGACCAGGAAGCACACTTCAGCATCAATTTTGGTTTCTAAAGGCCATCTTCCACCCAGGAGAGTCAGAGTTCCTTAGAGAAATACTAATTCCAGAGCAGAGGAGGAGAAATACACAATGGGCCCAAGGAGATCTCATTGTGCCAAAAAGTAAAGAAATGATGAAATCAGAGATGAAAAAGGATAGGAAGAAAAGACACAAGAATCAGATCGCTGAGGCTTCTGTGGGTGACTCAGAGAATATTCAGGCATAGAAATAACTATGTGACTCCTGACTTACATTCTTGATCTTCGCCATGTGCCCTCCTCAGAGGACAATGCTGCATCTCCACTAACAAATCCTTACTGATTTGAGTTGGGGCCCAAAGACACAGGACCAGACACACAGTTCAACCACAAGCCGCCTCCTGTGTGTGGACTTCCAGTTCCCTCCTGCTCTGGTTCCTCCCCTGGAAAACTCCTTTCATTCTTATTTATCTTCCACCTTACATTTTCACTCTGTCTTTTAGATGTTTTCTTATTGGACTCCTCCCTATGCCCCAATAAAAGGGTCCACACAAGCCCTCCAATAGCTCTCACAGCCTCTGGCTCAGCAGTGATGGGGTTCCAACAGGTACCACATCGCCAACCGACCACTCATATCAAGGAAGACCTGACCTCAGTACAGTAAAGCGTAGTCACCCTACAAAATCAAACAGATTCCCTCCCTGGCTGCCGTAGTCCTCCAAACCCACACGGGTCTCAACTCGATGACTGCTGAACGAGGAGGCATGTGTGCCTTCCTAGGGAAAGAATGCTGTCTTTATGCAAACAAGGAGATGCTAAATAATTAGGAGGAAAAAAATCAAAAACAGAGGAAGGGGGAGACACTTTCTGGAAGGATATCTGACTGTTTAGGGACCGTGGATCTCCCTCCCTCTTGGCAGGCCCAATCGTTACAATTCTGCTAACCCTACTCTTTGGTCTCTGCCTTTTCAACTGTCTCACCAAATCCCTCCAACAAACACTACAAGCTTTCACCCCCCAGAAGGTCACAGAATTCTTCATGTCAGAAAACTACCAGCCCCATCCCACCCAGAAGCTACCTCAACATGCCCCTTCCAATGTTGATCGTAGCCCCCTTCCAACAGGAAGCAACTTCCCTGAAACTACACTCCACCACCACTACCCCCCTCCCCCTTTTTTTCTTTTTACTGTTCCAGAGCTGGGATATGTTGGCCTCAGGTCATGAGGAATTGAGTCAGGCTGTATTAGGCAATAGCCCCGAGCCATAAGAATGGCTTAGCCACAAGCCTGATCATTCTGGATCCACCTGCAGAGACAATATGCCCAGATATTGAAAACAACCCACTCTGCTCCCAATCAAATCACAAAGAAATGGCTCTAACTTCCTGGTTGCTACCTAAGTGTGTGTGTGTGTGTGTGTGTGTGTGTGTGTGTGTGTGTGTGTGCAAATGCACTCAAACCTTCATCCCTTGGAAAAGTTGGGGCCACTCCCTGTTCCAAAAACGCAGTTTCTGACTGTTGAGATGGGAGAGATAATTATGCTAAAGTATTAGGGCTTGTTACTCAAAACGAGATTCCCAAGAGTTCATAGTGAAGTAAATACATAGTGAACTCAGAAACTCAGAGAGAAAACTAAGAAGTCACTATTGGTAGCCATCCTAATTATAACCAATTCAAGCAAGAAAAGAAAAGCAAAAAGCAAAATTCGAGGACTACTTGGTAATTACAAGGGGGGATGGTCAGTTTGCAGTGGAGACAGGATGCCAGGAACACAGTGATCCCATAGGAGAGCCAATCAATACTGTGCCCCTCTCTGTCCGAGGCACCAAGAAGCACCCCATTGCTTTCCTGCACGCTTGCATAAAGCTGTTGCCCGAGTCAGTTCTGATGAAGCATCAAACAAACACCTGTAGAGAGAGATTTTAAAAACTAACCATTGGGCACAGCATGCACACCACGGGTGTTCAGTTCACAGATGGAAAGCAGAAGTGTCTCTTCCAGCTGCCCACTTCCAGGGCACCACTGGCCTACTTGCTTAGTTGGAAGTGTGGACACAGGAAGTCTGGGTATGTATTTAGTTTCAGGAGCAGTAGTTAGAAGGTTTGCTAGGCTATTTGAGTTTTACCAAGAAGGGCAGGGATAGCCTGGGATAGTGACGTATGGCTGTAATCCCAGTTCCTCTCAGTAGTTAGATGAAGAAGCAGGAGAACAGAACTGGAGGAGGCTATCCTGGGCTACACAGTGAGCACCTGGCTCAACGA